GTTATGAGATCGGTTGCTTCGTCGGGGTGGAGGGGAGTCTTCCCAGGGGTGCTGGAGTTGCGGTTGGTGGGCATGGTGGCGTTTGTGATGGGCCTTGAGGAGTCGTTGTCTGGGTATGTGGTTTCGAATGATGTGCTTTTCTCGATGCGACTTGCGGTCCGGTTGTTGCTTTGAGGCAACAGGTGAGCGGTTGCCCAAGGTTGGTGCTGGTATTGGTGCTGGTGTTGCTCAGAATCCTCGTTGTAGCGGGAGCTGTTTGAGTTACGAGTGGTGGTGCTGGGGTTCTTCTTAAGTGTATTAGGAGGTGGTGCTCCGGATGCTTTTCTTCGTAGCGACAAGGGCATCTGATTGTCGGCGGTTCGTTGCTGGTGTTATTGTTCGCATTCCGTGGCCCATGTATCAGTGATACTGCTCGAGTCCGTGATTTTCATGTGAGGATGTGAACGTGTGAGCGCTGGCATGAGCGTGGGCTGCAGGCGGTTCGGCGGCGTGACCTTGACATCACGAGGAATCTTGTCAAAACGGATACCTTCGATGTTGAGCTTGTGATCACGGCAAAATATCGTACAATAGCTGGGTACGATACAAAAGCTCGTGGCATTGACAACAGCCGGGCATGCCACGGTGGTTCAGTGGCCCAATGAGTAACACATCCAAAATGCAGTAACGTCATGTAGACCAGGGAATACAACCAACTAGAAATCATTTAGCAACGATGGATGATTACATGTAGGTATGTTCGCATATACTTATCGTGGCATGTGATCACGAGTCCAACAATCCACACCTCATCTTTCTCTCAGCAACATGAGTTACGACAAATGATTCATACTTGCCCATACATATGTACATACTCATGACATCCACCCCCGAACAGCCTAGAAGCGAGAGAACGGAAGCCTGCAAGAAAAGTTAGCCCACGAGTCCCAACCAACACAACACAACAACACCAAGGAGAAGCAACATACCACTTGCCCCTAAGCGTAATCTTGACCCACTCCCCCTTCTCATCCGTCTCCTTCTCCACCTTGGTACTGAAAGAAATAGCACTCATGATCCCATCCCCGAACTTCTCATTAATCACACTCTTGTACGCATACCCATAGTTCTGCACAATCTCATACAGCCTGTAAACCAGCGGCTCACGCGGCGGCATTTCGAGCGAGCGGCCGCGGTCCGGGAAGTTCATCAGCTCCGTCTGGCGCAGCTCGGCTTCGGGGATGTCGAGGATCTTGGCGAGGTTCACGAGGTCTTGCTCCGAGGCGGGCGTGTGGCCGTAGAACATGGCGGCCGTGGAGACTTCTTCGCGGCCGAGGGCTTGGGCGATGGTTTCGAAGGAGAGGTTCTTGGCTTTTTTGGCGGCGAAGAGGACGCTGCAGTGGGAGGCGAGGTTGGGGGCGGCGGTTTGCTGGGTTTGCTGGGTTAGATGTCTTGTCTTTGTCTTGTCTTGTTCCTGGTTTAGGAAGGGTCTTTCAATGGAATCTTACGTCGAGTGTTGCGATCGGCTGACCGCTGGAGGTCCCTTTTGCTGCCATTCTTGCGGGTGTTGTAGCGAAGGTCTTCTTTTGCTGGCTCAAGAAGTTTGCAGTAGGTCTGATAGCAGATCTGGATGCGATCAAAGGAGCAGAGCGAGACGCGATACGCAGGGAGGAGGTGAGAGACGAGGCCATTGTGGGCGGTACTTATGGACGATGTTGTGTAGTACAGTGGTGGTGTGTACTGATAGATAAGCAGCTTGGTAACTTGGACAAAAGAGGGGAGGTGGAAGGCTTAGAAGCTATCGAGGCTGCAGGAGGAGTAGTAGTATCGCAATGGCAAGCGGCTGGGGTCTTGGAGATATCACGGC